GGAAAGGAAATGAAAGGCATAAACTTAATATTAATGAAAGCAAAGCATAAACATTACAAAAAATACAAAGAGAGAAAGGAAGAGCATGATCTTGATCTGGAAACCAAGATGCCTAAATGTATGGCAAATGCCTCCTTTTATAGGCTAAAATTGAAAACTATTGATCTAATGACTAATTGATGAGTGGGTGGTCAGATCTTGACTTGATGACAATCCTTATCTTCTTGTCTAAATAAAACATCGTTGATAACATCAGAATTTGAACCAGACTTCCACATGAAAGTTTCAGGAAATTATCTCAGCTTTCGAAGTAAAGAAATTAAGGTCATTTGGACTTCTAGAACTCGAGATATGGGCTGAACACTAAACAGTGTCTAGACTACAAGATAGATTCAAACTTTTACATTGTTTCTAAGATTTGGACTTTTAAATAGCAGAATTGAGTCTTGACTTCCACATAAATTTTTAGGCCTATGTCTTAGCTTTCCATCCATGTAAAGCAGACCTAAATCTGAGATCTACAACTTTAGATATGACCCAATTACCGAATAGTGTTTAGTTTGGATTGCACCAGCATTTTTTTTTCTAAGTTTGGCCCTCTCTTTGTCCTTTCAATTTCAATACTTCAACTCATCTATCAGTCTTTTCATTTATATGATAGACTTGCATTTAAGATAAACATTTACTATAAATTAAAGGTACCTTATGGTATCACACTTGTTATTATAAAACATGCTTTAGTTAAGTAGTTATTGATACTTCAAGTGCAAAATGATGATATAAAACCTTGATAAAAATGCACTTTTAAGTACTAATCACCTTCACATACCCTCATCCCCAAACCCAAATTGAATACTTGGGGGGCTATTAAAAACTCTTGGTAGGGCTGGCTTTATGATTCCCTTTCTAAGAATAATGCTAGACAAAATTGACAACCCTTGATATAAAGGGCAGAGGACAAAAAAGTATGATGATATCAAGTCCTTCCTAGATGTCAAGATCACAAGAAATGATTTGAGTAAGCAAGAGCAAAAAAGCTATCGAAGTTTACTGCCAACACTCTAACTTCTAAGAAAAGAAAGACAGCATGAAAAAATGGAGTTATATTTCTTAAGTAAGTATACATGCATATTAATCATAATGCATTGCTTTCAACATTGTTAAATCAAGGTTTCATCATCACCTTTTTGGTAGTGCATTTTCTAATCCTATCTCATTTCAAGTGCACCTCTGTGCCTTCATTTCCTATCGAGTGCGTCTTTGAGCCCTCACTTCTCAAATAATGCATTTTTTAACCCTAACTTCTTTGAAGTGTGCTTATGAGTCACCATCTCTTGGGTAGTGCATTTTCTAACCCTACCTCATTTCGAGTATGTCTCTATGCCTTCACTTCCTTTCGAGTGTGTCTTTGAACCACCATCTCTTAGGTTTAAATAAGGGTTAAACTAGAGGCACAATACAAAGAGTGAAGCAAGAAGTAATAAGAGTAGATGATGTCATAAGTATCGACTTATTATCCTAACATTTATAGACCTGTGGGAGATTTTTCTCCCTCTCCACCTCCACCTCCACCTCCACCTTCACTTTCACTTGCAACTCCAACTTCTTTCTAATGTATTTAAGATATTTATAATTGATTTTATAGTTCAATTGATAATAAAAAATATGCTCTTCAATTTAATTTAGTTTTTTAATGTCAACTTATTTGATCCAAATAAGTATATATTAAAGAAAATTATAGAAATATAAGTGGAATCACCAACAAAAATAATTATGTTGATGATTTCGTCAATAATATATGCTCATTTTATTTGGAGAATTATAGAAATTTGTGAACTGTTTTGATGTAGAATTTGTGTGTCAGTGATTTCATTAGGAAATCTATCATTGATAATCAATTAATTATTGATGGTTAGTCTATAGCAATACAAACTGACGCATCAGCAAATATTTTTTTTTTGGCACGGATATAATCTGCTGGCGGGTAATTTTATCGGCCAAATTACTAACAAATCTAAAACCCTTGATGAGAAACTCTCCTGTGAAAAATGTTCGTTGGTAATTTATATGTTGACAAAAATATAGCTTAAACGCAAATGAAATATTCCGTTGGTGAAAAATCAATTTTTTGGTTGTGATTTGACTCCATTAATTAATTAATTAATAATAAAACTTGAATTTTGACAACTCTATAATAAAGACTTTTATTTCCTTTATAGCTTATTCCCCTGCAAATTTAGCAATTCAATAATAATAATAATTAAAAAAAACATGAATTTTGAAATATCTCGAGAAACCATGTTTCCCTTCTTTAAAAAAGAGGTGTGAGTACTGGGAGTTGATTTTTTTTTTTTTCCGCTAATCGTATTAAGGTGTTTAAATTGGGAAGGAAGTTAATTCCTTTATTGAAGAGATATTAATGGACGATGGTAGAGTATTTCTTGATCAATGCCATTGCCTTGCTATCATGCCAAATAGCTTTACTGGATAAACTAGCCATTGGAATTTAGTTTCTAACTTGTTTCTTACTTCTGGAATTCAACAGCCACTAACTTGTGGAATTTATTTTTCGAACTTGATTTTTACTTCAGAATTAATGTCAAAAGCCATGAAATTTTTGCACTAAAATTTTCTACGCATAATTGGTCACGCCTCGACTTTCCGACTTTCTTCTTCCAATTCGAGTCAAGAGCCATCAACTTGTGGAATTTATTTCCCCAACTTGATTTTTACATCAGAATTGATGTTAATAGCCATGAAATTTTGGTACCAAACTTTTCTATGCATAACTGGTCATGCCTGGACATTCCGACTCTCTTCTTCCTATTCTGGTCAAGAGCCATCAACTTGTGGAATTTATTTTCCTAACTTGATTTTTACTTCAGAATTAATGTCAATAGCCATAAAATTTTGGCACCAAAATTTTCTATGCATAACTGGTCATGCCTTGACATTCCGAACGTCCAGGAATGACCAGTTATGGCTCTTCACATTCTGAAGTAAGAATCAAGTTAGAAAATAAATTCCACAAGTTGATGGCTCCGAAACTTTCCATGCATAACTGGTCATGCCTTAACATTCGGACTTTTCTGCTTCCGATTCGAGTCAAGAGCCATCAACTTGTGGAATTTATTTTCTAACTTGATTCTTACCTCAGAATGTGAATAGCCATAACTGGTCATTCCTGGACTTTCCGACTTTCTGCTTCCGATTTGAATCAAGAGCCATTAGCCCTGGAAAATTCAGGTTGCATTTTTCGGACTTGTGTCCATAGAAATTACAATTCTCCAACATGTCTATAACTTCCAGTGTGCTTCGCATTTGACTTCAACAATTAATTAATTAATTTTTTTATTTTCACTGTTTAATAGTTAGGATGCATGAATGCATGTCATTTTATTCATTCAGATCAACTTGACCCCCAAGAAATGGAGTAGCGATTATAATCAACATCAAGTCTTGCAGATAACGCCAAAAAAGTCTTCGGGTGGAAACGTGCCGTATATAATTGGTGTCCCGTTGATCGTGAACTATCCACATTAATCCTGCAACTTTTTTTTGCTTTTCCCTTATTTGTTCAGATCCTCGAAAAGTTTTATCTTTTCCAGACTCGAAATGGCTGGTGGGAAATATCAAGAATCCTCCTCTTCACGGTTTTCTAATTGTAAACATCAAGTGTTCTTGAGTTTTAGAGGTGAAGACACCCGCAGGAAATTTACCGATCACCTCTACATGGCCCTAGTCCAAGCAGGGATTCGCACATTTAGAGATGATGATGAGATTCAGAGAGGACATAATATAGAGTTGGAGATCCAGAAAGGAATACAACAATCAAACATATCGATAATCGTGTTCTCCAAAGACTATGCTCGTTCGAGATGGTGCCTCGATGAACTTGTTATGATCATGGAACGTAGGAGGACTACTAACTCCATAGTTTTGCCGGTTTTCTATGATGTGGATCCATCCCAAATCAGAAATCAAACTGGGAGCTTCGCTGCAGCATTTGTGGAACACGAAAAGCACTTCAAGGAGGAGATGGATCGGGTGAACGGGTGGAGGATTGCATTGAAGGAAGTTGCAGATTTGGGAGGAATGGTTTTAGGAGATGGGTAAGTTATATCTCTTGATGAAACTACACATGGCATAAGACTAGTATGCTGGTTCTGAACTCTTAATTAATTCAGTTTTTGCATTTAAGTATTTAGACGAAGATTGATAATACCACTCCCAATTTAGAGAAACTAAACCACTCCTAATCCAGAGAACATATAAGAAAAATAAAATAAAATACTTAAGATGTCTTCATTGTTTCATGCTTCTTCTTCTTTTTTTTTTCAAATTTAACCATCAATCATTAACACACAACCTGCTTTAATTACCTAGCTAGATGTCGTTTATTTCTATTGCTTATAGAGAGACTACTAATTAATTATCGTACATTGTATTTTACTTTCTGATGTAGGTACGAGGCACAGTTTGTCCAATCTATTGTGGAGAAGGTCTCAAAGAATTTGGATCGAAAAATATTTCATTTGCCCTTTCATTTCATTGGAAGAGATTCTGTAATACAATATATCAACTCATGGTTGCAAGATCGGTCCCATAGTGCTGCCATTGCTTTACTCTATGGAATTGGTGGAGTTGGAAAGACTGCCATAGCTAAGAACGTTTATAACCAGAACTTTTATAAATTTGAAGGAAAGAGCTTTCTATCGAATTTTAGAGAAAGGTCAAAGGAATACAAGGGTGTAGTTTGCCTACAGAGGCAACTTCTTTTCGACATCCTAAAAAGGAATGTTGATGAGATAAATGATGTTGATGAAGGAATTGTGAAGATTAAGGATGCAATATGTTGTAGAAGAACTCTTATTGTTCTTGATGACGTGGAGGAAAGGGACCAATTCAATGCAATCGTTGGCATGCAAAGTTGGCTTTGTAAAGGAAGTAAAATCATTGTAACGACCAGAAATAAGGGTCTGATTTCAGCTAATGATGAGTGGGTCAAGTGCAAAGTTGAACCTCTAGATAACGGACAATCACTTGAGCTTTTCAGTTGGCATGCCTTTGGACAAGCTTACCCTGTTGAAGGTTTTGTAGAGGACTCTTGGAAAATAGTGAATCATTGTAATGGACTTCCATTGGCCCTTCGTGTTATTGGTTCTTCATTATCTGGTAAAAGTAGAGAAGTATGGGAAAGTGCATTGCATGAAATGGAAGTGATTCCAAATTGTGAAGTTCAAAAGGTTCTTCGAATAAGTTACGACTCTCTCAATGATGAATACCAGAAGAACTTATTCCTTGATATTGCTTGTTTCTTCAATGGAATGGATTACAATTATGCTGTTAGGATACTAGATGGGCTCGGTATAGGTGCAAGATTCAGGATTGACAATCTCATTGACAGATGTCTTGTAGAAATTGTTGAAATCAACAATGATAAAAGGTTGTGGATGCATCAACTCGTAAGAGATATGGGAAGGGAAATTTCTCGTCAAGAATCACCCCAGTGTCAAAGAATATGGCATCACATGGAAGCTTTTACAGTTTTGAAAGAAACAAGTGTAAGTACCTGTTTTTGTTTTCCTATCTGCATGGTATTTAGGCGTCTTAAAATGTTCATGCCTTTACTATATTGAAAGAAACTACTGTAAGTACCTCATTTTGTTTATTCTTTTACTTTCGTTTCTCATATACTTTTAATATTTTTGAAGCAGGATGCTGAAAAATTGCGTGGCCTTACCATTGATATGCATGCATTAATGGAAGAAAATTGTACCAAAGCTATATGTGGTGATTCAGTGGTTCGCCAAAAGCATGACTTCTGTCAACATTATCGTCTTCCTACGTTTCCCTCTCGGGAATGGCTTTCTGACCTTTTCTTCGGGGAACAAGTACGAAGTGGTCAAGCAAGTTTGTTACCTGTCCTTAACACAGATGCTTTGAGAAAGATGCAAAATGTAAAATTTCTCCAACTAAATTACGTGAAGTTCTATGGAAGTTATGAACACTTCCCTAAGAATTTGGTATGGTTATGCTGGCATGGATTCTCTATGAGATCCATACCAAAACAATTATGCTTGGAGAAGCTTGTGGTTCTTGATCTATCCAGAAGCAGTCTTGTTGATGCTTGGAAAGGAAAATTGGTATGTATCTAGTCTCTCTCCATAGCTATCTCTCTCATTTGCAATTGATAACAACTAAATTCGAGTGTTTTTGCAGTCCCTTCCAAAATTAAAAATACTTGATCTGCGCCACTCACATGGCCTCATTAGAACCCCAGACTTGTCAGGTCTGCTAAGACTTGAAAATCTAATACTTGAAGACTGCATCCATTTGGTTCAGATTCATGAATCTATTGGAGATTTGCATAGTCTCATGATGTTAAATCTGAAGAATTGTCATAGTCTCGTGGAGCTTCCAGAAGAAGTGAGCAGATTGAATTCACTTCAAGAGCTTTATTTAAATGGTTGCTCGAATCTTGACAGCCTGAGTATGGAGTTAGAGCATCATCATGGACACAGGTTGCTTCAAGGTGATGGATTTGTTGCTAGTACATCATACATTTCATCTTTGTCGTTGAAGCTATTGTTTCCCTCTAGGTTTTCAGCAAGGAAAACTTCGAGATTTACATTGCCACACTCCTTGACGAGACTAGATTTAAGTGGAACTCCAATTCGTTTTCTTCCAGAAAGCATTAAAGACCTCAGTCCACTCGTAGCCCTGACTTTAAGAAATTGCAAAATGCTTCAGACACTCCCAGAGCTTCCATCCAATTTGTCTTCGTTAGACGTGTCTAGTAGTTATTCGCTGCAAACAGTTCCAAATCTAATCCCTTGGACTGTAGTATATGATTGTGATCAATTAGTTGACATCCAAGATTCGATGAAGCTAGAATTAATCCAAAAGGCTGACTCACACATGTTCAGAATAATGGAAACGGTCAACGCTCAAATACAGCCCTGGATATTTCAGGTCCTCCCACACCCGTTTTCTTGTATTTCAAATCTACATTTGTGTACTTCTCCTGGAAAATTCTTCCTTTGCTCATTTTATTATGGACATCGTTTTGATGGTACAGGTAACAGTTTTTGAGGGTGTATTCAACGTTGTCATAAGTGATGAAGATGGGATGTTTAAGTTTTATGAGGAGGAAGAAGAGGAGTGGATAATTCAGAAAGAGTTTGTAGGCTGCCTGTCATTCCAAATAGCCTCGCCTGCTGCGCACCGGATATGTGGTTTTAATCTATTCACAATGTTTTGTACCACGTCAGAAACCCTTCTCTGTGGTTCTGTTTATCTCGAAATAACAAACAATACCAGTGGTCGATCCTTGTTTTGTCCCGCCTCTTTCTTTCCTAGTGGCTACAAGCACGGGAATGCCGTCCTCCAATCGCTAAGCCACTGGAAATTAGGGGGCGATGATCCTACATTTGATAATGGTGATGACGTGAGTATTTCAGTGCTTCCACTTGATCCAACTATTCAAATAAAGATCGTAGGTGTCCTATGGTTGCATGAAGAGGAAGGAAATGGTGGTGGTGATGATATCCAATCAAAGAATAAAGTTATCACATCCCAAAGTAGTAGCTCATCACACAGGAAAGTTATCACAACCCACAACAGTAGCGATGATGATGATGATGTACATCTAGCCAATGTAGAAACAGCTTCTCATATTTTTAGGAATTATTCCTGTGCTGCACGTTATAATCCTGGCAACTTGGAAGTATGTTCGTGGTTATTTGAAAAGAAAGGTGAGAGGGTATTAATAATCTATTATATTTTAAAGCAATTAGATATTTGGTAATATATTTTAAGGCTTCCTCGCAAAGTTCATGTCATTATCTGTTTTTTTTTTTATTGTAACCACTGTTGATTAGACTCTGCAATTTTTTTTGTTTTTGTCATTTGATATTGATGAGTTTTGTGCTTATTTTTCTCGGTAGGGATATTGGAAGAAAAAGGGAGGCATCTTTGTTTAGCCTCTTGCATGGTTGGTGGCGCTGTAAGAGAGAGGGGTTGATTCTTTCGAATTGCGGAGGAGATCAGCTAGCAACAGATTATCTCTTGACACATTTGTCTTCACTCAGGTCTGTCTTATTTTGTTTCTGCATTTCAACTTATTTTCTTGGATTTGATTGTTAGAAGATTCTTTCAAAGCTTTTTTAGGCTTATTATATAATGAGATATTCTTTTGGATGAGATTATATGAGATTAATTCATTTGCCATGGCACGAAATTGTTTATTTTCAGCATTTTTGTTTTTTCTGTTATAAAAACCATGGTCATTGTCTTTTTGGTGGTGGTTCTTGGTTTTTGTAAGATGGTCTGTTTTAATTATTTGTAAGGCTGTAAAAGAAATAAAAGACTTGTAAATGGTTTTCTTGGTCTTAGAAAATATGATTTTATCAAGATGAAGTCTTTGAAAAATAAGGTGTGGCTGCCACCTTCCAATCACTAGATTCTCTTTTGTGGGATAAAAAAACAGTAAATTACTCCATAGAGTACATGGTAATGATTAACGCGTGTTAAGGGTGTAGTTGTTGGGGTCTACATTGACAAAGCCACCATGGTCGTGATGAACCTTGATGGTGAAAGTGTTTCAAGATGATAATGACAACACACGGTAGCCAAGTGACATGGAGTATGGAGAGGGATGGAAACTTGGTGATGGATTTGGAACAAAGGCAGTGCTTTATTTGTGGCAGTGTGTGGTAGTGCTCGACTAAGTGTTTCATGGCTCTGCTTTTTCTTCATGCTAGCACTGATGTTCATCATTTGTCCTCTACCTTTTCAGGTCTGGTAGCTGCAGTTTTTCATGCTTGATTTAGAGAGGGGCTGCTGGATTAGTGTTTGAGTGTTGCAGCTTTCCTTCTTCAGTTTTTTTTTATTGTTCCCCTGCTTGCTTCCTCATGGGTTCTGTTTTGTTGCTCCAATTTTTTTCTCTTTGGTCTTGCTTAATCTATGTGTTTGTGGTTTGCTCTTTTTATGAACGATTGATGACTTTGCTTTTGCCTTTTTCTTTTTTCCAGTTTATTATATCTTTAACAGCTTCCATTCTTCCTTTTGAGATGGTTAGGTTTCTTTGTTGAAGTTGGATCTCTTTAGGCAGATTCGCTTCTGTATTTTTTTTATTTTGCCTTCCCCCCCCCCCCCCCCCCCCCCCCTCCCCCCCCCCTCCCATATGTTTATGCCCAAATTGAGGCATTGTTTGCTGTGTTTTCCCTACAATGTTTGTTTAAATTCAGGAGATGGTTCGTGTTTATATAGATTTTTGTCTAGAAATTTCTTCATCCCTGTCATGTTAAATAATTTTAAGGGTTTCAAACTCTTTATAGTTTATACTTAACGAGATTGTTTGCAGCATGGTCGAAGGAAAATTTCCCACCTGCTACTGTGGGAATATAACAATGGCTTCTGTTACTCAGTCAAAAATGAAAGAGTGAATACCATAAGCATGGGTATTGCTAGAGCTAGGAATTCAATATCAATACTTTTGCTTGAATGTTATTTATGGTTGATGACTTCTTTTTTTCCCTTTTCACAGTTCGGGTGTTACATTGGAAGGCAGCAACACACCAGCTTTTTGGATATATAGTCACCTTGATGCCCTACTCTCGATTCAGTTCATATGGCTGATTTCTATAGTTTTAATCTATGAGCAATTTAAATGCAGTAAGTGCAAAGTGTTCTTCAACCAATACTACCAGTAGGTGTTTTTAGCTTGAACATTGTGAAAAAATAGATATCAAGTTCTGGATTGTGCATTAAGTGTAGGTCTGCTTAGAAGTTGAGATGAGAAGATGAAGGCTTAAGCTGAAGCAGATCATGGAAATGTACAGAAGTACAGCTTGCGAAGAAGCACTTTCTGCGAAAAAGAAAGAAGTTTCATTTCATCATCAACTGCACCAAAAATTTGAAAGAAGTTCGCTGTCATTGAACTCAATCCTGCATTTGAACATGGACTCAGTTGGCTGCTGAGTGTCAGGAAGGAACTTGACTGAAGATATCAAGTAAAGATATCAACGTCTCCAAGGATTACCCATGCGAAGTGCGGGCATCAAATCCAAGTGTGTGGGCGCGCGCGTGTACGTGTGTGTGTAAAGGTTCATAAAATTTTCTTCACGTACGGCTCATGAACTTGTTTTTTCATTCAAACCCGCTGGGGCCAAAAGCCTGTCATGGGCCCACATTGTTATTGTGTGAATAAAAATAAAAAACACACGATGTTCAAGCATTGTAGCATATTTTAAAGCATGAAAAGTTTTTTGCTACACAAGTCATAAATCATTTTTTATCCAATAAAATGGTTTAATTTAATATCTGATAAAAATACAAACGTTAATAAATTTATTAAATCCAAAGAGAAGGTGATAACAATGACCTATAGTGAAAAAAACTAAAAAAAAAAATTTATAAAATTTAATTTTTAACAATTAAATTATTGAAGAATAAAATAAAATTTTTTAAAAAAAATCATTAAAATAAATGACGACCAAATATGTCACAATATAAATAAAATAATATAATATAAAAGGCCTAAGCCAATTTAAGTTAGCATGATAAATTTGCTCTAACTCGTGATGTTAGATTATTCTCGTAGAAAGTACATTGAAAAAACTAAAAACATTTAATCTTTAATAAATTTGATATTAAAAAATAAAATTAAAAATAAAGACTGTTATAAAAAAACCAATATCAACTCATGCTAACATTTAATACCTGTGATCTAGGTCATAAAATCAAGATTATTATATTTAAAAAAATCATACAAAACCAAAATATTATCAACTAATATAATGTTAAAAGATAAAATAAAAAATCAATTTCAAAATAAATTTAAAGAAAAATATAAGGATGAAATCTGACTTAAAAATAAAATGAAATAAAATGGAGGGTTAAATTGAAAAAAAAATCAATTAAAAAATATATTAAAAAATAATAATTAAAAAAATAAAAATAAAGAAAAGAAAGGCGAGGAGGAAAACAAATTCCACAGCCAATCCGCCATGAATCACGCTATATGCATCGGCTCATTGATTGTGCTACCATTAGCATTTTAGAGGACAATGGTGGTTGCTTGTTTTCTATTGCTGGAAAACACCACACACATCGCCTGAAATGGTGCGAGTGTGTCCGCTTGATGGTATATTTGTTACGTGCCTGAATAGTGCGAGTGGTGTCCGCTTGATGGTATATTTGTTACGTGTGTTAGCTATTTTTTATTAATATTTTATATTTATTAAGAGATTAATTTGCTTCTCTTTCAAATATATATATATGTGTGTGTGTGTGAACATGATAGAAATATAATAAAAACCTTTGACAATAGTTTTAGTTTTTTTATTTTTTAAAGTAATGTAATTATTTTACTATACTAGAAAAGGATAAGAAAATTAAAAAGGCCATGGACCTCGATTTGTTTTCTAAAATATATTTTTAAGTATAATTAAATTATTTCAATATACATCTAAAATGATTTAAGACCTATATTTGCTCTCGATTAATATGAGAAAAACTATCTTATCCCTAATAATTACACTGTAGCAAATAATGTAATCCATAATGTTATCTTATTCCACTTTTACATTTGTAATTTAATTTTTAATTTGTTTAATTAAAAATATTTATAGTTGTTTTTTGTAAATCTGACTAATTGAACTTAAAATATCTATTTTAAAAGTACTTTTTAACCAATTCATTTGTGCTATTAATCTTGAAGTTACCTTCCGTAATTTTCGAAAAAAGAATTTTCAAAACAGAAGTTTTGAAATAAGCCTCCAGTATACGGAAGTATACAGGTAAATACGTAAGCATAAAGGGTGGCAACCAAAATGGTGAACATATACATTGGACATCCTGGGTACGTAGTCTAATGTTTAAAATGTGAAGCTAATTAATTTAATAAAATCAATATTGTCAAGGTCAAGTGAGACAGTGCTTTTGTGCGGTTTGTCAAAGACGAAGTACTTGCTTGAGAACATGGAACGATGAAACTTGTGCCAAACACGTTAATTAGGTGAATGAAAAAGAGTTGAATTTGTAAGAATATGTTTATTTTAATTTATATTTAAAAAATAATTTTTTTATTTTAAATTAATATTTTAGTTTTAAAATTGTTTTAATATGTTGATATAAAAAAATTAAAATATAAAAAATATTATTTTAATATATTTTCAAATAAAAAATATATATCATTATCTATTTCTAATGTAATGCTAAATAAGCTATAAATTATAAATTTGAGACGTAGAGAAAGACAGAGATAGTGATTAAGTAGTAACCCTTAGTATGAATTGTAGGAATGATATAGTTTACTAGGAGAAAGGAAATTGCTGGTATGCTGAAGAGGAGATTCAACTCCACCTTGCTTGTCTATTTTTGTGTTTTTTCTTCCAAACTTTACCTAATTAACTATTTGTAATTTTTTCAAAGCCTAACATGGTTTAATTGATTTTGATTATAAGGCCGCATATATTGAATTGGACCACTCCACTAATATCTAGTAGCTGTACACAGATTATAATATGAAACCATGCAATTCCCTCCAAGTTCAACTTGTTGATTGCCCATCATCTTGCATCCTTCGTCTCTATAAATACCTCTTTGAGCCCTCTTTTCTTCTCCACCCTAAGCGTTCATACTTTCACTAGTTGAGTCTCCTCAATCTCGCAACTCTTTTACTTTTCTTTCTTACTAATTTATACAAACAACATGAAGTCTCTTAAGATATTCTTGTCGCTAGCTATGCTCATGGCCTTAGCTTATACTCTATCTGCTACAACTGAAGAAGACTCGTTCGTGGCCATCGAAAATGATGATCATTCCACAAACGAGGATGAAGATACTGATCTTCCCTGGCTTGGTACCCAAGAAACAACATCTTCTTTGCGAGGGGCAAACCGGTTTCTAGCTCAGAAAAGTCGGGCTGCCATGACATGCAATAAGTACCCTAGGGTTTGTCGTGCCAAGGGCAGCCCCGGGCCGGATTGCTGCAAGAAGAAGTGTGTGAATGTGCTGACAGACAGGCTTAACTGTGGAATGTGCGGTAAGAAGTGCAAGTACGCTGAGATATGCTGCAAAGGTCATTGTGTGAAGCCAATGTCTAACAAGAAGCATTGTGGGGGTTGCAACAACAAGTGCAAGAAAGGGAATGCATGTGTGTATGGAATGTGTAGTTATGCATAGAAATATACAGCCAATACTGGATTGAACGAGCAGAAGGTAGAGCTATTAATTGATTGCTGGAAATGTATGATCATAAGGATTTCGATAGCGATTATTTATTCTTTTTATATGATATCATAATGTATGTAAATCCCATATATATCCATCATTCTTGATTTATTTGAAGTTTATATTGAGCTTACATTGCTTTGCAACGTGTATATCGTTTAGTACGTTTATGTACTAGCATATAAAATTTCAAGTCAAGGCTTCCCTTTTTAGAGTATTTATTTCATGATTCTTAGTATATTACTAGTGAATTAATAAGTGACCTATTTTTATATAGAATTATAAAAAATTAAATATTTTTTTTTTAAATGAGATTTTTTTTATATAATTGCAAGTTAAATTCCATAGCTTTAATGGTAAATTGATTCCATCAATAATATCTTGATTATTAGATAAAAATTGCACATGAAATTTAAAACTATATACATTAATAATCAAGTCCCTATTATTCTTGAGCAAATATTCCATAATTAGTTGTAGTTATCTACTTCCATGTAATGTCAATATCAAATTTACTACTTAATCATTTATCTTGATTTTGATATGGGGAAGAAATACAAGATAGAAGCTTGAAGTTTAAACGAGTACGTACTCCATTAAGGAGAGGCCTACACAAAGATGTCACAAGCAATTGGGATGAGTTCTTATCAACCCACGAAAAGCCAGTAAACATTGACTGGCTATGGTGGGCTAGCTAGACATTTTATTTTTTTATTTTTTTGGTTGAAAAAGGAGCTTATGCCTTGAAGAAATAGAAGAAAGAGGTTACATATATATGACAGATCAAATGAGGTAAAGGGAGGCCAGACGTTTAAGGTTTGAAGACTATATTGCCTAATGTGATGAGGTGATCAAGACTCAAGAGAAAGAAACTACGAGAAAGTGCTTCCATAACGGTTTTTCAAGTTTGTCAAACATGCATGCAGGGTTCTAATTTAGATGATTTGTATGAGAAGAATGGAACAGGAAATTAAACAAGGGCTAAAGATGGTCTCCATCGGGAAAGTAATGCAATTATGGAAGTTACATGATCCCAAAAGATATTTTGACCAAATTAATAATTAATTTTATGCACAATAAAATAAGTGTTTTATCTAACTTTTACTGTAGATTTATTATTGTCACATAGAGTAATTATAACTTTGAAACGATGATTTTCCTACTATTAACACAACATAATTTGCCAACGGAACAAGGTTATAACAGTCATTTTATTATTTACACAGTAAAATGGATAACAAAACTTTTGACTTTTTCATTTTAAGTGTACATTAAAATAACTCAGAATGCCTTTCAATCATAACTGTCAGTGTCTTTGGGTTGAGGAGCTTCCTTCCAAGGCAATTTAATAATTTTGCATAAATAAAATAATAATTAATCTTAAAAAGTCGGTTGTGCGTATACATGACCCGAACACGTCCTAGGTTTTTTCGCACTCTTTTTTTTTTTTATTTGGGGTGTCCGGGTCAACTTATGCGCACGACGACTAATCCCCATGGCTCACTGAATATCCTACAAATCCTGTAGACATGTAAGGCACCGTAGGGGTGACATACGTGCATGCCATGGCTCGAACTCAGGTGCAATGGAAGAAGACAAGTCCCTTCCACCGCTAGACCAAGCACTGATTTTTTCACACTCTTAAGACGATGCATATGATGCCATCTAGTTAAAAAATCCAAGGACATAATTGAACTTTAAAAAGGTTTAAGTGACTTGATCAGGAGCTAAAATGAAAGAAAAATAAAGTTTAGAAGTCAATTTGTTAGAATTAGAAGAATCAATAAGTCTAGGGACTTAATTGAAATTTTGGTTTATGTTAATTAATGCAACTAGGGATTTAATTGAAGAAAAAAAAGTTTGAGAATCAATTTGTGTCAAGATTGCAATAATCTTTTAATTATTAATTTAATTAAATTATCTTTTCAATTGTATCCCTTAATATTTTATATCATTCTTTTAATTCAATTATTTTCTCAATTGC